CTCAATAAAAGTGGTACGGATAGCTAGCTATCACAAGCCGATATTGCCCGATAACATATTTTTATAGCTAGATAATCTCAAAGGCATTTTTTTGCTTGGGAACACTCAGTCCGATCTTTGTCACGCTGACTGGACAAATCATTGTTCATTACAACAAAAACGATACAAAGTGGTATTGGATAGTCATGCGGAAAACGAATACACAGCACTAACTACCTAGCTCGACGAATATATTGTCATGCAGACAGTCTGTGGTAAATTTTGCCGCTGTAGCTACATGTAGACAGCAGTGTCTGCTATTATATGAAAAGGATACTCACATGAAGTGAAACCCCCGAATCTTCGATTTAGACTTTAGAAGACCTCGAGATCCTTCTATGAAGTGTCATGACGTTTGTGTAGACTCTCAACACTTTTTGTGAGATACCTGATCTATGAAAAGCTGCATCCTTATTTTGTTCCATTCAGAAGGTATAAGCAGTTTTCCGAGAGATACAAAATCTCTTGATCTGCACTATCAAATAATCACCTTTGAATCTAAAATCGATTGGAAAACAATTGCAGAATATCACTCTCAAACCTTTTATTGAAAACTAACCAGCACTAACCATTCCTTTCGCCTACAATGACGTCCTTCGGATTTCTCTTCCTAGTGCCACAGCCGATCTTTATTTCTTTTTTATTCGTGACATTATTTTCCTAGAGCTTTACGCCGATATATTTCGCATGGACATTTCTTATCGTCAATAGTTGTTCTTCGATTTGTATGATTCAATCATTGTAGCATTTTCGGCATACAAATAACTCAAGTTTCGCAGTAGTATGTGATCCCTCAAATCGAGATTCCATGTTTTTTTCGCTCATGAAGAAAGGCAATGAGTCAAGAAAAAATACTTTTTCGTTTGCATGATTTCTAAATTAAAAAGAACAGTTAAACACATTCACAGTAAAACCATTTGGAAAATATCGTCCAATTTAAGAATACAGTTGTAAGTTTTCGGTGTTTTGTTGCATCTCAATCACACATTGAAGATTTTTTTCTACTGTTGCTCCTTCCGATTGTCTTAATGGAGCAATATGGGTATATATCTTCAGTGCTCGTTCGAAACAATGACGTGCTTCGGATAGTTCACCTAAATTCATTCGTATCAGCCCTAAAGTGTTCAGTAATCCGGCCGATTGGGATGGGTTTGATGGGTAAATACGCTCGAAGAGTACCAATGCTCGCGTACCCAACTTCAAAGCCTGAGCATCATCACGGAGTTCATGATGAATATTTGTTAGCAAGACCAAACTCGTGGCCACAACGGTCTCGTTGTCAGACACACGAGACTCGCGCAAGGTCCATGCTTGTTGAGCGTAATCGAGAGCTTCTTGGAGTTCTTTTCGAGCCAAATGAACATTTGAAATATCGGTGAGACTGGTGGCAATCGAAGCAGCACTGGGTGGATAAGCGGATTCGTACAAGAGCAGCGCGCGGCTGTGACATTTCAACGCCGAATCGAATTCACCACGATGATAATGAACCCTGCCGAGCCGAGACAGAGTGTCGGCGACATTCTCGCCCGCCTGTAGAATGAAAAAACTGGTTTAAGATTATTTTTTATACGGTGGCAAGATTTGGCTGAGGAAGAATTTTTAAAACAAATTATCGCTTTCGTAGATTGATTCACGTTGGCCCTGTAAATCAAGTCCCTTGAAAAGATTATTTTCTGAAAATTCAGCTTCAGCAGTCTAAGACTTAATTAGAGGCCATTTGCCATTTTACCTCTTCCTGCATTTTGAGCGCTTGTGTATAACATTCCACTGCACTATCGTAGTCTTGTTTCTCTTCTGCACATAATTGACCAACGAGGTTGAGAATTCGAGCCGATACAGGACGAATGCGTCGATAGACAATGATCGCCTGATCGATTTCGCCACGCTTCAGATGCTTCTGTGCTTGCAACTCATCCTCGGATACTTTCGGACTGCTGACCTGATTCATTTCGTTCCTAAGTTAGAAATCATCTTAGCTGATTTTGAGTCTTCTCTGTATATCGTTAGAATCCGATTTTTAAGGAAGTGTTAATACCTGACTTCGACTTTGCCTGACGACGGTGGTGGTGGCCCTTGTGGTGTCGGCGATTTCGGAGGAGCTGAAAGCTCATCGAGCAGCGCTTGTACAGCCTGTCCTTTATGTTTTTCCTTATACTCTACTGCTACTCTCTTTCCTTCGTCAGATGCTGTTTTCATCTTGATGACAGACATGGCACCCCGATTGACGCACATTACTCGAAAACTCGTAGCAACATCGAAGATTACTATTGTTGAGCCATTGTCCATAGCGACCTCGGCAAATCGAGCTGACGCATCAAAATCGATTTTAAATAGAACAGATGAGAGATCAGGTCGATAACCCGGCGACGAAGCCGATTGCAAACCGATCGTTCTCGATTTAGTACAAGTAAAAAATCCGCTTGCACACACTAGTCCACCAGTGTGCGTTTCGAACATATTCATCAGCTCATTGGATACCTTCATACCTCGATAGAGTTGACCGCGGCCAGGACGTCTCGGCTGTTGCTGTAAGACACGCAGCACATCGATGATGAGAAAATGGCAGGGTTGGAGTAGCTCAGCATTGCGTGATATAAGCGCATATCGAAGAAGGCGTGACGGAAATGGTGCACGGAAGCACCAGCGAAGCGAGTCATTTGGTCGGTATAATTGATCGAACTCATCAACAAATTTCAGCCTTTTTGGATTTCCTCGATAGTAGCTCCGAGCTTGTTCTATCAAATCAATTTTACTGTTCGCCGACACTTTTCGGCTTGTTATCTGAATAGAAAAAAATATAATTCCTCCAAGGGGTGAAGGTGCGGGTGAAAACGGATTACTTCCTCTTTCCATAATTGCAGCCAGAGAAAGACTTTGTCCGTTTCGAATGCGAATACTTCTAATTGAATTTGTTCGAATGCATCAAGCGTCTCTCTGAGTACTCGAAGAAGTTCCTCCTGCTGAGCGAAAACACCGATTAGCTTGGGAGAATCTCCTCGGACACTGTCCGCATCGGGATCCAGCACAAACATGGCTTCGACGAGTATGAATAGATGTACTGCTGCCAGCAATTCCCCATCACTTGACGATGAAATGAAGAAGATCTTCTCATTGGAAGTTCGTATCGAATCGAAGCAAGTGGACGTATCAGTATAAGTTCGTACACAATCATTGATCGTACGAAGTGCTCCTACAAAAGTTGTCGCCGATTCTCCTTGAAGATTAAGCCATACGAAAGTGACGCATTCGCGGTTGACATTTGTATCAATATGGGTTGCGAATGCTGTACTAGTAGTCGCTTCTCTCTTCGAAGAAGATGAAGGAGCCACGGACGCCGATTGACGTACTGGTGTAACATTTGAAGCAGCTGCCGAAAGCCGTTTCTGACTCATGTGTTGTTTCTATTACGCTAGAATATCGTTGCATGTAGGGTAAACTATACTTCATTCGTCACTGGACTATTCTCCTTAGATCCAGCTTGGACCTCGCACTGGGGCAATTACTCTGAATAGGTTTCGATAGAAAGAATACGATTGGCTATCGCGAATTGAGAAATAACACTTATTCGACATTCTCAAGCGAAGTGTACTATCTTCATCTGTTTTCGACAGAAATCAAGCAGAATTCAGCAAAAAGTCGAGTACACATATCGCTTTATACGGCCAAAAAGACCTCATGAGAAGGGTAAAAGTAAAACTGTAAAGTATAAAAATCAGATTGCCTGTATAAAAAAAGGGTGATCACAAATTTTTCGTTAACCCCCTTTTACAATAATTACGGGTGGCGCCACCATAATGACGTAACTTGTAAGTACATTTCGCATAAATTGCATCAGGGATTAACCAAAACCTTGTGATAACTCTTTTTTTATATAGGCACTCTGATTTTTATACTTTAAAGCTTTACTTTTACCCTTCTCACGAGGTCATTTTGGCCATATGTTTGTGGACCAAGCAAAATTAGCCTATTGTTGTACGTTTCAATCAAACTCGAGTTTGATTGAAATGTACATGTCATGCGATTGAGAAACAAGTCAATTGAAATAATGTCTAATTTTAGGCTTCAAATTGGTTTTGAAAACTATTTCTCTTCAATATCAAGCTTTCGATGTGTGAGTTAGAATAGACTAAGAGACTGCTTAGGGAAACATCACCGTAATGTCCGTCAACTGACACTCTTGCTTGATAATGTCCGTACATAAACTTTGGCTTGGACGGTAAAGTAAAGAAAATCTTCGAGATTTTATTAAATACGAACGCCTAGCAGAAAAAACTGGCTGGTAATACTCAGTGAGACAAAAAGATTTAGCATCGGAACTATCATTTCGACTCCTGAAAAATCCAAGTGAACGAAGATTTCGCAAAAAAGGATAGTGTATCTCAATAGAATTTCACGAACAACGCCGAATGTTTTCTAAGCTGTCTTCAGTTCCTTCATATTCTGCTGCCGAGGCAGCTCAGCGTTGACGGTTTTCTTTGACTTCCTGTCAGGGCAAAAATCTTCCTTACTTTGTGATGGAAAGAATTCTTCACCGTTTCTCAGGGCGCGGTTTCAGAATTTAAACCTATTAAACTCTTGCTTTGGGTACAATTCATTTTGAATTATTTAGAAAATCTTACTATAGAAAACCAATCCGATTATCATCCGACAACATAGGTTCTGTCCGAGAGAAATTTAACCATCTCAAAACTGAGGAGAAAGAGCGCAGCAGGAGAGTGGATCACTACATCAAATTTCATGTCTAGTTTCGGAATTTTTATGCTTGTTTAGAACAAGTGTTAGTTGGTATTTTTTAAAGGTATTCTAGAAAGAAACATTCTGTGAGACGTACAACTTAATTGTGTTTAACCACAATCTAATGATTAGTTCTGAACGTGTTATCTAAATAATTTTCTATTAGTAATTTATGAATAAATTTATAGTTTAATATTATATGTGCTTGAGTTTATTTGACGTTCAAGATCAGTATGAGGCTGTTCCAGCAGGTAAAGTAATCGGCGATTATGTTCAGCATAACGTTGTTGTGGTGCTGGGGGGGGGGGGGGGGGGGCGGCGGGGGCGGCGGGGGGGGGGGGGGGGGGGGGGGGGGGGGGGGGGGGGGGGGGCGGGGGGGGGGGGGGGGGGGGGGGGGGGGGGGGG